ACAGCAAAAATTGTGGCCACAAATGGCAGTTGCCCAAGCATGATATTAGTATCACTGAATTACTTGCTTCTCCCTTTTATTTGGTTATTAGAGTGATTTCATGCAATGAATGCATTTTTCATGCTAACCTTACTCTCGCTTAATCTTTTCTCACATTTCCCCACTTTCTTCATTATTCTACTCCCTGTAATAAAACAAGGAACAAATAAATGCATACCACATGCTGCTTTAGATAATACAGTAAATATATTAGTAAGAGTCCTACAGAGTGAGTACAAGCTTTCTTGGGTAACTCAAAAACCACTCTGCAATCATTTTTATAATTAAAAACACCAACTATCACTTCAATAACAAGTACATAAGCTCCAGTACTTTCCAGTTTGTGAAAATCCTGATTACTCTGCTTTCACAATAGCAGTAAGTCTTAACATGCAGATAAAATAAGCATTTGACGACATGGGCAAAAAGGAGGGAGTTCAGCTGGGGAGGCCTTATAACATAAAAATCCAGAAACTAAAAGGAACAATTAGGAGAAACTGCAGTGGACTCAGAGCTACCATATATACGTGGAAGGTGAAAGGAAATAATTAACAATGCACATACTTAATTGTATTGATAATAAAGCCATCAGGAGGAAATGGGGTTAGGGGTCTACTAGAAGTGACAAGGAAATGGGAAGAGAAGATATTTGGCTTTTGCCAGTAATACCATTGCTACCATTTACAGTAAGGATCAGACGTTAAAAAAAGAAAAAAGGGTAAGGGTCGGATAGTAAGCATCTTGGGCTTTGCTGGCTACATCACAACTAATCAACTCTGCCACTGTAGCACAAAACAGCCACAGACCTATGTAAACAAACAGATGAGGCTGTTTTAATAAAATTTTACTTATAAAACAGAATGCAGACCAAATGTAGCCTATGAGTTGGCAGTTTGCTAACCTCCGACATAAGATACCTAATAGTGAGGGATAAACAAATCTAAAGCACAAGAGAAAGGTCATGAATAAGAACAAATAGTTGGAAGTCACTGTCACAAATAAAGTGACAGAAGGGATAACTTAAGATTAGCAGAAATGCAAAATTTGAATACTTAAAGACACTTTATGAAGAACAGCACTTCATAAAAAGCATGAGGAGGTAAATAATTAGTGGTTTCCTGAAAATAGAAAAAAACATGTGAAATGAAAACTCGTGATTCCCTTAAATGTCATTCTGGCTCAATTACAAATCCTTTATGCTTGAGCAAGTGCAGGACACTGCAACATTTAACCATAGTCATTATCTGGAAGGCAAAGCCAGAACACAGAGAAGGTCCCAAATGTGTATGTAATACACTTAAGGCCTTGACATGAGACAACCCAAAGCAGGGTCAGGTTGCAACAAAATCTTGTACCTCACATATTTTATAGTCTCCTATACAAAAACAAAATCCACAGCATTTCACAGAAACTATTTACTCAAAATTGAGTCAAAGGTTAAAAACAAAAATAAAGCACAAAAATACCCTTAAAAACAAAACCGAATGCCAAGGGAAATGGTTTTGACAATACATAGATGTGTTTGGGAAATACTCTCATTTCAAAAATTATGAAGTTAAGTTTATTACACTGCTTAAAAATAAAACAGGGTCCAGTATCAATGTATTTGATTCAAGCTTTTTCAACGTTTACAGGCCTAAAATACAATAGGTCTTACTGTTTGTCTTTGGGAAGAAGTACAATCTAGCAAAGAAACCACTGTATTTAAAACAAGTCATAAATATTGGCTCATTAGAAGAAAGTAAAGCAATTAAAAACCAATTAAAAAAAAATCACAAGGCCCAAAACTGCAAAACTTGCAAAGAAGCACTATAGGACACGTTACAGAACTGATGATGATTCGTGTATGTGGATTAGAACAGTCTAGATGGGGAAGGGGTAGAGAATATGTGCCCCTGCTAGAGAACACAATACTATTTCCTTTACACAAACACAAAAACTCAAGTATACAAAGGTTAAGACTACAATTTACACTGACGACTATAAAGGCAAAAATGACAAGTTCTGAATTAGAAGAAAACAGGACAAGATTAAAATGTGAAATTGGTTCCCCTCAATTAAAAAAATAGCAAACCATAGTACCACATGTGATCATGTGCCTGCAATTTCATTTCTGGCTTCTAGCAATGGAAAAGTGACAGCAACATTAAAGTCTAAACTACTCGAAGTACAAGGAAGGTTGCCTGATGTCTACTTTGGAATTCATAATAAGCAGGATACCACAGCATTATTTAATGCTGTTTATTTAATACCACAGCATTATTTAAAGATGTTACAGTTTAGGACTGAAATTTTGACACCAAGTCCAATAGCTGTGAGGAGATGAGGTGTAGAGAAGTAACAAACCTAGCTGTTTCAGGGAAGGATGGGCAAATGAGCTGGCCTTGGCTCCTAAGGAAAACCACCTAAGAGTAATGTTTCTCAAATTGTATGTGAAGGACCAGTTTTAACCCTTAAATTGCACTCTGCCAAAAACATATTTTTGTAAAATGTATTTTCAAAAATTACTAGATTACTGATCACATACTTTAATGTGACAGTACTATCAAACTGCTATAGAATGTAGACATTCTCAATTTCTACACTGGTCCACAGAGACACTGGATAACAATGACCTACCATTTTGTTCTCTAATGTCAATCTGACTAAAAGCTTGTGTTAGTCTAGAGTCTGACTTTGAGTGAGAAAATTCAGCTCTCCCCCCACTAAATAATGAAGAGAATCCGTAACAATTAGAGATAAAAAGTAGAACAGAGACTGGTCATTAACTTGTTTTAATTTTAAAATTTAAAACATTGCATTATCATACTACCTCAGAAAATTAAAATTATCCTTTTAAATGCAAGCTATAGCTCTTAAGAATGTTCACTCCTATCAACTTGAAAATTTTGCTTTGTTTTACCATTTATTTTAGAAGATAACAGGATATAGACACTTAAAGTATATGAAAATATTCACTTAACTTATATAACTATATAACTCATGTATCTGTAAACTCCTGTTATCTTTGTCTCCATGTTCTCCAAACTCCCCCAAATGATTTAGTTGCTTGCTAATAGGGTGAGCCTAGGAGGCCTATTTTAAGTTCCATTACCAAAGGAAGTAAAATGAAAGAAAAATGCCTGGCCTATAACACGACTACAATCTGATGTGATTTACTATAGCCTATAAGATAGGCTCTACACTATTGAGAGAGTATAATGTGATTTATAGGGTCTCTGTAACAAAATCCATTTTGCAACTTAAAAGCTATAAAGTGACTTACATCCTCCCTGCTTCTGTTTCATCTATAAAATGGGGACAACAGCACCTACATCAAAGGTTAATTGTGTAGGTTAAAGTGCATGTAAAGTGCTTAGAACACTGCCTGGCACATATTAAGTACTATATAAGTATTGTAATTATTTAATTCTTACACAGTATGTCTCAAAGCCTTCTCTTGAACTGAATAAACAACTAAATTGGTTAAATATGTCACATCCCTACAATTAATTACAATTCTTTTGTTAAAAGATTTTAGTTCTCTATTATGAAAATATATTTATTTATAATCTGTTGGACAGGGAGAAAAAAGATAGAAAATCATGTACAGTCTAATCTTATATTTAGAAAAGATGCTAATGAAGTTATGAAAAGTTGCAAGTCACTGTAATACTTATGTGGCATCTGCCAAAAGTGACTCAGTAATTCATCATCCTCCCCACCCACTGGGAGAAGACTTAAAATAAAACTGATTATGATTCTAAAATGGTGAGAATAAGGATAATCAAATAAGTATTATAAATCAGGTTTTAAAAACAAATTTAGAAATGTATACATTTAATTCATTATTCCTCCTCCACTCCTGAAAGCTGATGCTTCTTAAAATGGACTACACTTTAGAATTAAGGAAACAGAGCACTGATTTCTAATATATTACTCCAATCGCACCGTCAACACACCACCACCACTATCATGTATATATAAGCTCTTGTAGTGCTCACAACTACATATCAACACAGACAATAAATCACCTTAACCAATCACCCAAGCTTAAGCAGCAGATATCAGGTACAGTCTATAGAGATTATAAACACAAAAGATTCCGTATTTCTAGAATACTAAGTAAGAATACTAAGTTTGTGGTATTGAGAGTACTCAGATAGTAACCTGTGGTACCCTGTAAGCTGTTTTTAAATTCTTCAATGAAATCAATACTATTAATTTCATGTTTACTATACATAGGATTTTTGTCAAACTTATTAGTTTTTAAATTAATTCATAATCACCATTTAAAGACAAATTTTCCTCTTATCTAATGATTTTCATTCTATCTGTAAGTTCAGCTTACCTTTTTGTCTATAACAGCCATATTTCATTTTATCTCATCAGAAATACAGTTATTATGTACAAAGTTTTTCACATGTGCTTTCAAATGCCTACAAAGTAGTAGATCAAGTTTTCAAATTTACATAAAACCACACTACACCAATTTACCAATATAAATATAAGTCTTCATACCTATTTATTCCATTCTATTTAGACAGTAACACTAACAAAATTCTTAATGTATATATCCCCACCACCTGTACTCTTTCCCTATGCTATCATATTGACACAACAGAACATCTCAATTCAGCAACCAAGTTTTACAACTACCATTCCGATCAAATGGCAATGCACTAAGATAATAATTCTCTTGAGTTTTAACATGTTAAGAATACATTATTTACCTAAGACCGAAGGACTATGCCTTCCTGCATAAAAAACAAAGATAGCCACATCAATTAATTCCATACATATGGTGCTACCTATTCAATTTATTAAAAATTTTAATAAACATAATAATCAAAACTAGTGCTCCAAACTTATGCTGTTCACGTGGAAGACACTACAAGAAGACACAATAGAGACTGCCTGGCAATAAGAGGTACAAATTCCTTCTATAGAGATGGAGAAATAAAAGGACAAATCTAGTTGTCTAAAAGACAATTCACTGTACACATTTTATTTACAGTTTTGTACACTGTCTTAATATGAATGGGACCGCTTTTCTACTTGAGCCATTTTTTAACCAAAGCAAAATAACCTAAGTAATACAAAGTGTTAAAATACAGCATAAAGATACAAAAACAGACATACTAATTCTAATTAGGAATGTAATTATGATGTTACATTTTTTATAATCCACAATTATGTTTAGGAAATCACATAAACATAGATCACTGATTTGAATGAAATGCATAAATTTGTAGCAAAGCTTTGTAGTTACAAAAAAACAAAAAAATTACCAAAGAATGCACAAAATTAATGTTTATTCCACCTTTGTGTCATATTCCTGGATCCTTCACCAATGTTACATGAGGAAAAAAACAAAAGCAAAACAAATGAAAAACTGAAATCAGAATCACTAATGTTATCAAGTAGGGAAACAAATAAATTAAAATCTAGCAGCCATCAGCAAGAGTACAGCAAAGACAATGCTGTAAAAAGAAACAAAGAAAATTGCTAGAAAACTGTATGCATCATACTCTTTCAAACCAGCAAAATATGCTCCTGCATACAATGGAACATAAACAAAATTTTTTTCCTGTAAGGTATAGAAATGCAAGTTCTTTTTTGAATATTGTGGATAGGTAAAATGTGTTTGTAATGGTAATTCTACTAAGCTATTACAGAGTGGGCCAGGAACACACTTATGGATTCTGGGGATGATGTGTACTGTAATTCTTTGATTGGGATAGTGGACACTCTAGCCAAAATTAAAAAAAAATATATATGAACACAGAAGTACAAGACAAAGGCGAATGAGACTTCTCTTATATCTTAGCAACATTTAGATGGAAATCAAATTTAAATGCAGTCCACTCTGCTTTTGAAGAGGCTTTGGTTCAGCTCCCAAATCTCGATTGCTTGACGCAGTCTCCTATGAGAATACTCAGAAGGTGTCTTCTTAAACAACAAACCTATTTTTAGTGGTGGAGCCGCTCTTAGTAGCTGTGTCTGCATGGGACTGATAACCAATCACTATCTTTGGAGGAAGTCCTAACCTTTCCTTGTATACCCTCCTAGAAGAAGAAAAATAAAAATAGTAGACATTAATTTTCATTCACACACACTAAATTTGATATTACTGTTCTTTACATAAAAAAGTCCAGAGCATGAAACAGGAAACTGCACACCCTTTTCCTTTTAGTAAAATTTACCCTTCATTTTATAGCAATTTGAGTTAATCACTTAACCAGTATCTGAGACCTGTTATGAGGTACTGTGTAATTACTAATAAATCAATAATAAGTAAAGCATGACAGTCCCAGAGTGTTCATAGTATTTGATTATTTGCAAATAATCACAAATACATACAGTGGAGCTGTATCACATGCATAACTCATTTATACAAAATTGCCTATGTGTCTAATTTGCTGATATAAAATGCTACAATTTTATTTTACATATAAACCATAATAAATATTGTATATTATTACAAATTACATTTACCACACTTACTTTATGGTATTTTCAGGGTAATTTAGAACATACATGATTTCTGCTTTAAATACTAATTCTGCAACCTAATTTTCAAATAACATGTGACTCTATTTTAAGAACAAACTATGATGAGTGCCAAAATGGGTAAGTGTAGGGGCTGTGATATTGTATAACAAGGATGATCTAATCTTGTCTGTGAAATCAGAGAAATCTCCCCTTCAAAAGTCATGAGGTTAAAAGTAAAATGCTGAGAGAAAGAAGCATATATGAAGGCTGGGGAACAAAATAAGGCTGTGTGGCTATAGCTCATAAAGAAAAAGAGTATAGCAAAAAGGGTGACAATGTAAAATTGAGGCCAGATCACAGAGAGCACCACAGGTAAAGTTACGAATCCAGACATCTATTCTTAAGAAAAACAGCAACACTTCAAAAATAAACACCAAAATAAAAATATACGTTTATACATACTGGAGCTAAATTCTCCAATATGATACTAGGATAGTTTTTATCCATACACCTTCCAGAAGATTCTACTACCCTCCTTCAAATAAACTTTCTAAAAACAGTTTTATGATAACCAAAATTATAACTATTATCAGATTTATGTCATGATACAGTGTATTCCTTTCCATTATACTTAATCATTAAAAATGCCAGAAAGCCAGAGCACTGAGCCATGTAACTTGGAAGGGTTTAAAAAAAAAAATCCTCCCTTGAAAAACTGAAGTCAAATATTTCACAAAGATTTCAATAATTTTTAATACTGACACAAATACAAGATTTTCAAAGAAAAGAAATTTGTACTTATTTTTAAACTTTTAAAATATTAAATCCCACAAATAATAACTTGATGCTGACAGGAAGATTGAGAATATGACCACAAACAACAGTCAACTTCTCTTTAGAGAAAACCTCTGTGGAATGGAAACTGGTAGATTTCCATACCTTTTAATCCAGAAAGAAATTATGTTCATAGGAGAATTCATAATGTTTGGAAAAAAATCACAAAGGGCGAACCAAACATTTTGTGACCTATGACCAATACTTAATTTTAAAACAAAATTTAAAATCAAATTTTACTAAGTTAAATGTAATAAAAAGAAGATCCCAGTTAACATGACCAATATATAGGGGTATGGTGGGGTGGAAGTGACAGGCAATTTTTACAAGGAATAATATTCACAAACAAAAAAATTAAAAACATAACACACGTGGGTTTTAAAAATATGGTCAGAACTAAGATACTATCACTTAAATGTGACTGGAAGTTTATGTACAGTGTACACATATGTACACAGAATGCACATACATTATTTGCCAATACTCACTGAATTACTAAGATTATTATAATATTAATGTTATGATTTTAAAATAGAAAAAAGACAATACTGTCATATGATAAATGAATAAAAGTCTACATGCCAAAATAGTGCACTCTGGTGATTGATTCTATACTCCCATTGTGAGGAAAAAGAAATTTTACAGAAACTTAAAAAAAAAAAAAAAAAAAAGAACAAGAAAATGGTAACACAGCAGTTTAAGATTGTAACTTTTCATGAAAACATTATAAGGAAAATAATCATCTACAAATCCAAGTATTTTTTTAAGTTATAAATAACCATACTTCTGCTTTTAGTTATCTTAATATATTTTTATCTTAATATTTTCAAGGAAGTATACAAACAGCAAAACTTACCCTATATGTGTAACAGCCTCTCTGTTTTCACATTCAGTAGTCCATATTGCTATCTTATCACCTTTAGCTCTAACATTAACAACAGCTCCACATACATCATCACTGTAGTCATCAAAAGATTCTCCAATAAGGCACAGCAGCTTTAAAAAAGAAAAAAATTCAATCCCAAATTACATTAAATAAATTATACATTGCTTAATGAACTACAAATGTCTCTTTACAAAACAGTTTTTAAATCAAAAGTTAACTTTTTGAACGTCTAAATTATATTTATGTATATAGTTCTTTGTCCTGACTTTTCAAAAATTCATTTGTGTGTTTAATATCGAGATCATTAACAGTTGTTTTAGCTTTTTAAGCAAGTGGGGCAATTGAGGTCAGGGCAAATGTAAAAGGCAAATTATCTTAATATTCATTTGCTCTGCTGCTGTTTCAACTTGCCAGCAAACAAATATTAATGGAATAACTGAATAGTTGCTCATGCTGCCTCTTGTTCTCACTGTTTTTCATGACACAATTTTTTTTTATTGTGGCAAATATAAAATTTACCCATTTTTACCATTTAAAAAATGGTTTTTTTGATTTGAGTATGGACAACACGACATTAAATCACTTTTAACCATTTTTAAGGATATGGTTCAGTGGCATTAAGTATACTGACAACATTGTATAACTATCACAACCATCCATCTCCAGAACATCTGTCATCTTAAAGAACTGAAATGACTTTAAAGTGGAATTCTAAAATGGATTTACTGATAATCTCCCCTCAAAACAAAATTAATCTCTTCATTAAAAAAAAAACCAAACAAATAAAAAACCCATTTATTGAAATACTGATGAATTGCTTAACTTCGTAAGTGCTAACTATAAATGAAACGCTATGACAAGTGCTAAGAATCCAAAAGAGATTATTATCCTTATGTCTGATAGGCTGGGGTTTAGAACTTCTCACTAGAGAAAATAACAATTACCTCATATTTAATGTATGTCTTATAAAGCCAAAAGTTCCAGGTTATAGCACAATATATAGGATCAATTTCATTGTTTGCTTCAATGATCTAAAAAATTTAGTATACAAAGAAATACTCTTAAGAGGGCTGTAAAACTTGTATAATACAAAAATGCAAGGTTCTAGAATTTTGAGGCTAATGAAATGACCAGGATGAGCTTACTATGGAAGTGAAAGTAAACTGCCGATCTCTTTATATCTGATTTGTAATATGGTATGAGGTTTCACTGTACCATATGTAAAATACACAGTATACATTGATAGTACAAAATTAATTGCTGGCTTAAGATTTTATAGGTGGGCATCCTTATCTCTTAAATTAAGTAACCAATGTAAAATGTAATCCAAACTAAGTTTTAATATTTCAAAACTGCTTTATAATTTTAAAACCTTACTGTCTCTAGCCAAAAGCGATCCAGGTCACTTCGTCTCTGCTGCTTGTTCAATGTAATTAGCCATCGTCCTCCTCGTTTGTTTTTCTCATCTTCCCACATAGGCTCAATACCATCCTACAAGGTTAGTAGGTAACATTATTAGACAAAATTGTTACTTTAATTGAGGAGAGCACTACAAAGAGGAAGCAACAACTCTGTCAACTTCTTACTTTGTTCTCCATAAAGCTGTTATTGATGTAGTGGGGAAAAAAGAAGGCAGGATTTAAAGCTATGGGACTGCAGAATTAGAGTCCTGACATAGTTATTAGCTATAAAACCTTGGGGTTCCTTTAAGTTGAGGTTCTTAAACACCAAGAAACAGATACCCTTGAGAAGCTACATACATTTCTATATATAGAAAATATATGCAAAAATTATGCAATTTCAGAGTTAATGAATGCCCCACCCCCTACCACTTGACAAAACCCATTTGTAAATATGAATATCCCAAAGACCAATGCATCCAAGGTTAAGAACTCCTGATGAACTCTAGAGTTCTACACTTCAGTCTACTCAAATGTGTAAGAGAGAGACTGGACTGGATGGTCAAAAATCAATCACAGTGTGTGCCCATAGAGTAAGATTCTCAATTGCAATTATTTATAGCAGTAAGGCAAAATTTGTTTAGGCTAAAGCCCAGTAAAATTAATTTAATTATTCTCCAAAACTCAGAGCATTAACTATTCCTAAGTTTCCGACAAGATTTCTTACTGAGTAACTGAATGGTCCAGTCTTATAATGAATGTATGAAATCCCCAGTTAAACATACCTTAAAAAGTGAGTAGTCACAGCCAGGCATTAAATTACTAGACAACTGGATGTGGTTGTACAGACTAGGTAAAAGAAAAGGACAATTATAAACACAGAATATGTAATGCAGAGTTTAGGTACTTACATATACATTTAGAGAATATGATAAAATAAAAAGATGAAAGTTTGTTTGCTTGTTTTTCTATCGAGTCAATATCCATAATGGACCAAAAAGGTATCTTAATAATGGTCAGTTCAAGACTCTGCATTTGATCATTTTCAAGAAAATACTTTTAATGATTTTATTCTGACAAAAGTATATTTTGATGTATTAGTTAACTCAGTGCATACATATATATATATAAGAAACTGAAAATAGGAGGTATGAGGCTGCTTTCTGTACATGAAAGTATTCATGATGCTAATGAGCAGTTTTAAACACACACAAAAAAAAATCAAGGGAAAGCAAGACAAACTTCCTGACTATCAGCACTGCATGACTGAAAGAAGACAGTATTATTATCCTTGAAGGTGTCCTAGAAAAGACCAATGGGTCTCAAATACTGCAGTCATTACTAGTCAGACAGCATAGCAATTATTTGGAAAGCTTTGGAAAAAAAGAAGCAAGCAAGCAAACAAACAAAAACCACCAGGCCCCACTCCTGTGATTTTAATCCCTTTATATATAGGGTGGAACCCTGGAATCTGTATTTCTAAACTTTCCCCCAAGTATCAATGTAAGAGTAACACTTGAAATAACTTAAATATTCACTAGCCTGAAGGTAGAAGGATAAATCATTTGCCCTCCTAAAGTTTCTTCTTGCAATGTTATAATAAAATTGGCAACAGATTTAAGGATGCTTTGCCTGTCTCCAACATTAGATGCAGAAACATGATCTTTGCTACATCTGCAGACCATGGACAATGCTATTATCCTTAGATTCTCTTGATGCTATTTTAATCCAGAAATATTTCAAGCAGAATTTTAAGAAAGATTCTGGCATCCTTTGGATCACATTCCACAGGATTACATACAAATCCAATTTGGGGGAAGGTAGCCCAAGGCTGAATAAGATCTGCAGAGTTACTCATCGGTCACTCTTCCAAACTACATTATCATTGGCAGCTTCCACTAGGCAAGAGAAGAGGCCTGGATAGTAACAGTAACTATAGAATTAGCACCACCACTTAATGAAATTATTGGAGAGGGTGGAAATGCTTTCTTCAATGGCACTCAAGGTAGAAATGCCCAATGCTTCTTTATGCCTTCTCCTTTCTCCTTCACTGTGCTCTAAAGTCTATTAAGTTTATAGTAATGAGTACTTGTAGTGACACATTTAAACAGAATCAGAGCACTACAGATGAGACTGGATAAGTCCCAAAGGGCTCAACAGCTGTTTACCACTAAATCTGCCAGGAAAAAAAGTGAGAAATTAAGTGCTTAGGTATTTACAGAAAGCTAAAGAATTCCTTCATATGTCTAAGTGTGAAAGTCTACTATGCAATGACATTGCTTACACATAACTAAAGTATGGGGCCATGCTGTAATTACAGGCTCACTTAGAAACCCAATTATGTAAACCGGTGAAAAGCCTAACAAACCAGATAAATGCAGATCTGGTTCAGAGGGGGAAATGGTTCCCAAGACTCTTGTTCTTCCTCTTCCATAGGAGACTGAAGACTTTTTAGAGGACTCAAATAAATACAATCAAAGAAGAAAATCACTTGATGTTTTGATGAAGGGCAAAACACAGTAACCCTAGTTTAATTAGTAACCCTAGTTTAATTAGACAACTAAACCTATGAATTACTGGGGATTTAAATACAGTTCCATTACTTCAAAAAAAGATAATGATTTCAATATAAAGTGACCACTCAAAGTACACAGCTCAAAATTTAAGAGTTTTCTCTAATTATTCTATGCTTTTTCCCCCCTAGTGATTCAAATGCATATTTAATGCCTATTGTGGGCAAAGCACTGCAAAGATACAGAAGAATACTGTTTCTGCCCTGGAAGAAGTATACATATATGAATCTTCTGACAATCTGTTCTTTTTTGTGGGCAAAATACACTTGGGGGTTATGTTAATACATAAGAGTTACATCACTGATTCAACATATATAGGATCCAAAAAAATACTAGATGCACAAATTAGAATTTTAGATAAGCTTACACCTCTTAAAAATGTCTTAACAAGTTTTACCTTTAAAATGAAAATCATTTTTCAAATAAATTACATACTAAATTAGTTTTTCGAGAATCAATACTACAAAACTTCTTGAAAAGACTTTACAAATTTTAAATTTTACTTTACCTAAATTTTACTTGGACAAACCTTTCAGCCTTTGAAAAATCTCAGAATCCATATCACAGGAAATCCTAGGTGTTACACCAAAAAAAATTTGCAAAAAGGGAACCTAACAAAGCTCTGGAGTATGGGGCAAATGTATCTAGGCAACCAAGAAAGGGGACAGGTTCCAACATATTGTCAAAAGTTCTAGAAGCAACAAAGGACTCTCAAGAGAAGGATCTCTTAGGACAAGAATATAGAATATACACAGGGCTAAAGGCTGACAAGACTGAAGCTTTCCAATTCAAACAGTTCTGAGGAGATGGACAAACAAAAAGGTAGGTCTACAGATGAACATCTATTGTTTACCTTATCCTCCATTTTGGGAATGTGACTTAAAATGAAAAATTACACACTTAATAAAACAAACATCCTAAAATGGTTACTTACGCCCAAAAGTCTTCAACAGTATCAAACTTAGAGATCAGCCGAAGGTTCGCTTGCCAAGTTTTGCTTTTATCATTTTTAAAAAACCAGAGTGCCCATCTAAAAGTAAAAAGTCAGCGTCAAACATGGTAGTTTTTAAATTCACATTCCTAGCCTCTTTCTTCACAACAGCCAAAGGAAGGAAGCAGCCCAAGTGTCCACTGACAGATGAGTAGATAAATAAAATCTGGTTTAAATATACAGCGGAATATGTGTCAGACTTAAAAACAAAGTCTGAGGATGAACCTTAAGGACATTACATTAAGTGAAATAAGCCAATCACGAAAGACAAACAGTATGAATCTACTTGTATGAGGTATTTAAAGTAATCAAATTCAGAGATAGAAGGTAAAATGGCAGGGGCTAGAAGGAAAGGGAATGGACAACTGTTTAATGGGTACAGAGTTTTAGTTTTGCCAAGATGAAAAAGAGTTCTGGAGACTGGATGCACAACAGCATGGATGTACTCAACACTACTGAACCGTACACTTAAAAAATGGCTAAGATGGTAAATTTTGTTATGGTGTATTTTACCACAATTAAAAATTTATTTTAATTTAAAAATAATTTTAAATGGTAGATAATATTATAGTAGCAAATAATGAGTAGTTTTTGCTCTTTCATTTAGAAAGTATGTATTTTGGGCGCCTGGGTGGCTCAGTTGTTCCACATCTGCCTTAGGCTCTGGTCATGGTCCCAGGGTCCTGGGATCGGGCCCTGCATGGGGCTCCCTGCTCGGCAGGAGGTCTACTCCTCCCTCACTCTCTCCCCCTGCTTGTGTTCCCTCTCCCTGTGTGTCTATTTCAGAGAGTATATTTCAGAGAGAGACACAGGGAGAGAGGGAACACAAGCAGAGGGAGAGGCTGAGGGAGAAGCAGGCCTCCCACCGAGCAGGGAGCGCGATACAGGCCCATCCCAGGACCCTGGGACCATGACCAGAGCGGAAGGCAGATGTGGAACCACGGAGCCACCCAGGCGCCCCTAAAAAAGATCTTTAAAGGAAAAAAATATAAGTATGTATTTTGTACCTACTTCCTAACAGATTCTCTGCTATACTTTAGAGACCCATTGGGTTCATCCGTTAGAGTAATTCACAGAAATGTTAATAGACAATTACAGAGTGCCAACTACTCTGACAGAGATAATGAAGCAGTTACTTAAGAACTTAAGAAAAACAGCAGAAGCACTTAACCAGAAAAGAAAGCAGGGAGCAAGAAAGCTGAATTTTCAGAGAAATGAAAAGGTATTAGCCAAGAGTGGAAAGTAAGAGACTCCTAAAGGGGGGGGGGGCACTATGAAATGCAATTTTCTCTTTATACAAGCACACAAATGAGAAAATAACAAAATAAAAGGATTCACTGAGTAATGCTGTCACATGCTCTGAAATAATGTATACTAGTTTCTACATATCTGTATATATCTGTTAAAAAGTTTTATTCTAATACCTGGAATACAAACTCATGTCACATCAAAGTTACACTTAAATAGCCCAAGATAACATCTTAAGTACAATTATCTGAATTACGATACCAAAGGTAACTCAAGAGGGAAATTTCATTTTCTCACTAAAAATAAGGTTGTCTGAAGACAGGTTTCCAAACACATTATATATACTTCACAACTCCATAATTAATGCTTAGATAATCTGACATAAAAATGAGATGCATTTCAACATCCATTTGACAATGTGAATTTGCCAAGCCGCTAAGGACAAAAAAGAAAAAAAGCAAAGACACAGAAATTATTAAAGACACATGTAATAAGGTCAAGTACTGTATATTCCGGTTTTCCAAAATTAAATCTTTCCTGAAAAAATTCAAAATAGAATGACCATATCATCTAGCAATTCTACTTCTAGGTATTTACCTGAAGAAAATGCAAACACTAACTCAAAAAGATGTATGCACCACCCTCATGTTCATGCAGCATTATTTACATGTGGAAATCACCTCAGTACCCATCAATAAATGAATGGATAAAGAAAATGTTGTATGTACACAATAGAGTATTATTTGCCCACAAAAAAAGAGGAAGAAATCTGTCATTTGAGACATTGGATGAACATGGAGGGCACATGTTAAGTAAGTCAGATAAAGAAAGATATTGTTATGTTTCTCATTTATATGGGGAAATCTTAAAACAAAAAAACCAAAAAAACCAAGGTCATAAACACAGAAAGAGTGGTGGCTGCCAGGGGTAGGGGTTGGGTAAAAAGAAGTGAAAAGGGTCAAAAGGTACAAACTTCCAGTTATAAAATACGTAAGTCATTAATGATATACAACATGGAGACTATGGTTAATGACAATGTATTATGTATATGAAAAGTTGCTAAGAGAGTAAATCTTAAAACTTCTCATTACAAGGAAAAAAACCTTTTTTTAAGTATGGTGACAGATATTAAGTAAACTTTCTACAGTGATCATTTCACAATATAGTTATGGACATTGGGGAGGGTAGGTGCTATGGTGAGTGCTGTGAATTGTGTAAGACTGATGATTCACAGACCTGTACCCCTGAAGCAAATAATACATTGTATGTTAATACAAAAAAAAAAATACACAAATACTGAGTCATGTTTTACACCTGAAACTAATGTTATATGTGAATTATACCTCAATTAAAAATGATTAATAAAATTCTTTTTCCTTTTTTTTTTAACTGCATCCAGCAATTGGACATATAAAAATTTATCCTAACAAAATAATTAGATGATTATGTAAAAATGTTTGTACAAGAATGTTCTTCATGTTGGAAAACTTGGAAACATCTTAAGCACTTTCAACAAGGGATCATTTAAATCCAGTTATCAAAATGTGGTTTGCAAATGCTTAGGGGACTGCAGGACCCTTTCAGGAACTCTGATTAAGTAAGAACTATTTTCATAATAATGCTAAGACATTATTTTATTTTTCCCTGTGTTGACATTTGTACTAATGGTACAAAAGCAATGGTGGACTAAATCTGCTGGTATCTTAGCAAGTTCCATACAATGGTTATCAAATTGTACTAGCAGTCACTGCACCCTTTACCTTCACCACCTCTGACGGTAACAACGTTAGTTGCAGTTAAGAATGCCACTGATGAAACATAGTAATTGGTTTCATTGAATTTTAATCTATCTACATCTTTTTCATATTCTGCAAAAAATCAAAATCAACAACAAAACATTTCCATATACCAAAGTACAATCAATGCTTAAGGAACTGAATTGTAAACTAGCCACTTTTTTCATAGAACTCCATTTTAACCATGACTGATAGATAAACATCGTTATTTCTTGAAAATGAAGACAGTGAGCTTCCAGGAGAAAATCCGAAGTCTGGAAAGACTGCATGTGCTACTGTGACAAACTTACTACAACTAAAGCACATTTCTGATGAGTGCAGTAGTGATATTAATGGACATTACTGTTTTCATACTGCATAATAAGAACTATCAGTATCTAGAAGATCTGCATAACTCACTGAACCAATGTTTTCCAAAGGACCCCTGGTGTTTCAAAATCATGCATGGGTAAAAGGTCCATGCCAAATGCAAGACAGGCCAATAGATATTAATGAAACAAAGAAGGAAAGATTCTTGGATATATTTTCAGATTATACATTGCAGCTGACCTATATAAAACGTATTATCAAAGAATAGTATCTATAATTAACTTATAAGGCTATTAAAAATCCTCCTTTTCCAACCATGTACTTGTATGAGGACATATACTCTTATTACTTCCTATGAAACAACTTTTCTTCTTCACAGACTGAATGCAGCTATACTAACTTCTGTTAAGTCAGGCACTTAAAGAGATTTATAAAAATGCTATTCTTCCCACTATATTTTTGAATTTTTTTCATAAAAAATATTTGTTAACATGCAATGGATTTTCTAAATGAATATATAATTTTACATTTTCTCAGGATTATTTTCTAATATACTAAAGGGAAATAGGTAAAAATCTACATAACCAAAGCTCTGTGGGGTCCTCAATAAAAAGGTCTTGAGACCAAAAATTTAAGAACTGCGGACTTAAATAAAATATACACCAATAAAATAGAACTATGCAGCTATTAAACAGAATAATTATGTGGATAAAGTTATTCCTAAGATGGACATGAAACCCAGAAGCCATGGAGGAAAGGTGCTACTGGACTACATAAAAACCAAAACCTGTTAAAAATAAAGAAAAGAAAAGAAAAAACCTGTTTTAAAAAAATGTAATTCCACAAACAATGTTAAAAGACAAATTATTTGGATAATTCATTTTCACCTTAATGTCCTACATGGGTAAGTTAGCAACCCTAATTACAATGCCTGGAAAGAAACTTTTTTTTTTAAAGATTCATTTATTTTGGAAAGATTGCCAGAGGGGCGGGGAGGGGGGATCTCAAGCAGACTCCTTGCTAAGTGCAGAGCCCAATACAGGGCTTGATCTCAAAACCCTGAAATCACGATCTGAGTCAAACTCAGGAGAGGGACACTTAACCAAGCCACCCAGGCACCCTGGAAATAAAACTTTAAAGAATACCTGCTTCCCATACCTAGACAAAAGAACTGAGCAGACTGTCCACAGATAAAAACAAAAATGTTCCATATATATGACAAAGCTGTGCAACGTCAAAAGAAATGCAAATTTAGGGACACCTGGCTGGCTGGCTCGGTTAACCATCTGCCTTTGGCTCAGGTCATGATCCCAGTCCTGGTATTGAGCTCTCCAGCCTGCTTCTCTCTCCCCCGCTCCTTATGTACTCTCTCTCAGACAAAGAAATAAATAAAATCTTTTTTAAAATGCAAATTTAAAATGAGAAGACATTGTCTTTTTATAAATCAGACTAGGACCAACCAATTGCAAAGATGTAGAAACCAAGAACTCACACTGCTAAGAGCCTAAGCTGATAAAGGAGGATAATTTGGCAATTATCTATTTAGGCTGTTAAAGCATAGTCTTTCACCTAAGAAATCTGAAATTTTGGGCCTCCTGGGTGGCTCAGTCAGTTAAGCATCTGCCTTTGGCTTGGGTCCTGATCTCAGGGTCCTCAGATCAAGCCCCACATCAGGCTCCCTCCTCA